CAGAAGAAGGGCTGGGAATGTGGCTTAGTGGCAGAGTGCTTGCCTAGCATGCATGAAGCCCTGGGTTCCATTCCTTAGTACCACATAAACAGAAAAAAATGGAAGTGGTTCTGTGGCTCAAGTGGTAGAGTGTTAGCCATGAGCAAAAGAAGCTAGGGGGGGTCTGGAAAGGTGGCTAGTGGTAGAGTGCTTGCCTAGCATGCACAAGGCCCTGTGTTCGATTCCTCAGCACCACATAAGCAGAAAAAGGTGGAAGTGGAGCTGTGGCTCAAGTGGTAGAGCGCTAGCCTTGAGCTGAAGAGTGCAGGGAAAGTGCCCAGGCCCAAAGTTCAAGCCCCACAAGAAGAAGAAAGAAGAAGAGGAGGAGGAGGAGGAGAAGAAGAAAAAGAAAAAGAAGAAGGGGAAGGGGAAAGAGAAGGAGAAGAGGGGAGGGGGAGGAGGAGGGGGAAGGGGAAGAGGAAGAGGAAGAGGAAGAAGGAGGAGGAGGAACAGCTAGGGACAGTGCCCACACCCTCAGTTCAAACCCTAGGACTGGCAAAGGAAAAAAAAAGTTTTGAGAAGAAGAAATAAAAAAGGCTAAGAGATACATGAAGAAAAGATCATCAACATTGTTGTTGTTGATCATGGGGCTTGAACTCTGGGCCTGGGTGCTGTCCCTGAGCTCTTCAGCTCAAGGGGAACTCTCTACCACTTGAACTACAGCACCAGTTCTGATTTTCTGGTGGTTTATTGGAGATAAAAGTCTCGCTGACTTTCCTACCTGGCAGGCTTTGAACCATGTTCCTCAGATCTCATCCTCCTGAGCAGCTAGGATTACAGGGGGGAGTCACTAGCGCCCATCTATGATCAACATTTTTAGTAAATAAAAATCAAAACCACATTGAGAGTCTACCTCCCTTGAGTTAGAATGGAAATTGTAAAGAAAGCAAAGAATTCACTACCTGACTTATGTAACTGTAACCCTCTGTATGTTACCTTTACAATAAAATTTAAATAAAAGAAAAGAGGAAAAAATGGGACCAAGAATGTGACTTAGTGGTAGAGTGCTTGCCAAACATGCATGAAGCCCTGGGTTCAATTCCTTAGTACCACATAAACAGAAAAAAAATGGAAGTGGTGCTGTGGCTCAAGTGGTAGAGTACTAACCTTAAACAAAAGAAACTCAGGGACAGTGCCCAGGCCCTGAGTTCAAGCTCCAGGACTGGCAGAAAGAAAAGAAAGAAAGAAAGAAATCTGCTGTCACACAATAAATAAGTGACCAAAAATGTGACATCTATACACAATGGAATTTTACACAGCCATTAGAAAGAATAAAATAATGTCATTCACAGGGAAATGGATGGAACTAGAACAAATAATGTGAGGCAAGATAAGCCAGGCTCAGAGAGACAAATGGTTTATGTTCTCTCTGGTATGTGGAAATTAGATCTAAAATACACTGATCAAATATACAGTATTCTAGATGCACACAGTGAGATCAAAAGAAGATACACTTAGGAAACACAAAGGCACAATACCTAAGTGTCTCTTCATATTTATATAAAATAATAGAGATATAGAAACAAACCCCAAGATAAGGAAATGAGGCCTCTCCTTTTTTCTTCCTTTTTTTAGTTTTAAGTTTTTGATGATTCTGTCTTCTTTACCTTACCTTATGTATGGTATATTCAAGTGCACATCTTCAGAATAATGGGGAGGGAGGGTACAGAACTCAAGGGAAACGGTGAAAAGTGCAGCAGTGGAGCTCACTGGACACTGATGAAAGTGAACTCTTCAAGTTGTAAGTGGACATGAGAGGGAAGGACTGGGAAAGAGTGAGGAGAACAGAAGACACTGTGCAAAAAGAACTGTACTCCTTGCCTGACCCATGCAATTGCAATCCCACCATACATCACCTCTATAATAATAAAGTAAATTAATAATAAAAAGGAAAGATACCTGCATATCCATGTTTGTTACAGCATTGCTCATTACCCAAATCATGGAATTAAACAAAGTGTCCAATAGCACACGACTAGATAAAGGTGTGGAATGCACACACAGATACAGACACAGACATACAGACAGGCAGACAGACAGACAGATGAACAGACAGATGGACAGACACACACACACACACACACACACACACACTATGATTCCATGGTGTAATATTCATTACACAGCCATAAAGGAAAATAAATCATGTCATTTGCAGGAAAGTGGATAGAACTGGGGAAGGGGAGGATGCTAAAAAAGAGGCTGAATGAGGATGGATATAATCAAAGTCGTTTGATTGCATATATGAAAATAGAATGATGAAAACTGTTGACATTGTTTTTTGTTGTTGGTGATGGTCCTCGTGAGGCTTGAACTCTGGGCCTGTGCGCTGTCCCTCAGCTCTTCATCTCAAGGCAAGTGCTCTACCACTTGAGCCACAGTGCCATTTCTGGTTTTCTGGTGGTTAGAGATAAGAGTGTCATTGACTTTCTTGCCTGGGCTGGCTTTGAAGCATGATCCTCAGATCTTAGCCTCCTGAGTAGTAGGATTACAGGCGTGAGCTACTGGTGCCCAACAAAATTGGCTTAATGGTAGAGTGCTTGCCTTGCATGCATAAAGCCCTAGCATGGAGCACTAGCCTTGAGAAAAAGAAGCTCAGGGACAGTGCCCAGTCCCAAAATCAAAGCCCCAGGACTGGCAGAAAGAAAGAAAGGAAGAAAGAAAGAAAGAAAAAGAAAGAAGGAAGGAAGGAAGGAAGGAAGGCAGGCAGACAGGCAGACAGACAGACGGACAGGAAGGAAGGAAGAAAGAAAGGAGGGAGGGAGGGAGAGAGGGAAGGAAGGAAGGAATTGTTTTAAGAAGAGAATGGGATAAGGGAGAGTGACAGGGTGAGGTTGACAGAGATGCTTTGTATACGTGTTTGCAAATATCATAATAAACCTTAGTAGGAATAAAATAATTGACCTGAAGCTATAAAAAATTCGTAGTCTAAGCCGGGCGCCAGTGGCTCACATCTGTAAGCCTTGCTACTCAGGAGGATGAGATCTGAGGATCATGGTTCAAAGCCAGCCCAGGCAGGAAAGTCAGTGAGACTCTTATTTCCAATTAACCACCTGAAAACTGGAAGTGGTGCTGTGGCTTATAAGTGGTAGAGTGCTCACCTTGAGCTGAAAAGCTCATGGACAATGACCAAACCCAGAGTTCAAGCACCATGACCGACAAAAATAATTAAATGAAAATTCATAGTCTAGGCTAGGTACAACAGCTTATACCTATAATCCCAGCTACTCAGGAGACAGAGATTGGAAGAATCCAGGCAAAACAGTGAGATCCTATTTCAACCAATGAGCAGGGCATGGTGTATGCTCCTATACTTCCTGCTCTGTGGGAAGCATAATGATGATCGCTGGAAGACCCTCAACTCTGGGTTGAAACCAAAAAGTCTTAACTACAAGAAAGTCAAGTGGGCTGGGAGCTGGTGGCTCACACCTGAATCCTAGCTACTCAAGAGGCTGAGATTTAAGGATTGCATTTCAAAGCCAGCTTGGACAAGAAAGTCCGTAAAGTCTCTCTTTCTTTTTTGCCAGTCATGGGGCTTAGCTTGAACTCAGGAACTGGGTACTGTCCCTGAGCCTCTTGGTGCTCAAGGCTAGCACTCTACCACTAGAGCCACTTTTCTGAATAGTTTACTAAAGATAAGAGTCTCATGGACTTTCTTTCCTGCCCAGATTGGCTTTGAACTGTGATCCTCATGGCTGAGAAGGTGGCTCAGTGGTAGAGCGCTTGCCTTGCATGAACTCTGATCCTCAGATCTCAGCTTCCTGAGTAGCTAGGATTACAGGTATGAGCCCCTGGTATCCAACCTTTGAGACTCTTATCTCCAATTAACCAGCAAAATAAAACTGGACTGGAGGCATGGCAAAATGGTAGAGCACCATTCACGAGAAAGCAAGGAGAACAAGAGGTTCAAGCCCAGTTCTGCTCTTCTTAAGCTAGCTAATTAAGGGGAAAAAAGGGGAGAAAGAATAATTCTGGCTAGTTAGGAGGCTGAGATCTGAGAATCGAAGTTAGACACAGTTGGAAATCAGCATGAGCAGACAAATCTAGTAGATTCTGTGTGTGTGTGTGTGTGTGTGTGTGTATGTGTTGGTCATGGGGTTTGAATTCTGGGCCTGGGCGCTGTCTCTCAGCTCTTCACCTCAAGGCTAGTGCTCTACTACTTGAGACACAGTGCCACTTCCGGTATTTATGAATCGATTGCGACTTGTAGATATTTATTTATTCCTTTATTTAGTTTTGCCAATCGGTCCTGGGGTTGAACTTCAGGATCTGGGCACTGTTCCTGAGCTTCTTTTTGCTTAAGGCTAGCACTCTACCCCTTGAGCCACAGAGCCACTTCTGGCTTTTTCTGTGTATGTGGTACTGAGGAATCGAACCCAGGGCTTCATGTATGCTAGGCAAGCATTCTACCACTAAGCTACCTTCGCAGCTCACTTGCAGGTGTTTAGATGCACGGCTTCTCAATTTCCGTGTTTTGCCCTCGCCCTCCACAAGTGAGGGGCGGGTTGGGTCCCGAGCTCCCTGGCCCTCAGCAGCCCAGCTTCCTTTCTGATGATGACCTAGACCTGAACCCACAGCTCTGTGATGAAGCAGGGCCCCTGTGCATGCGGGGCGCCGAGTAAATACGGTTAATGGGAGTTCCCTCACTTCTCCCGCGAAACAAGGGGAACGTCGGGGCAGTGGGGTGCTGCTTCTCTCCAGGATCCAGGGGTGAGAAAGCAGCTGAAGACACCTGAAGGATGCGGGATGGGAGGCGCGGATGGAGGGGAGGGATCCTCATGCACGGCTCCCCCTTGCAGAAAACGCTCCCGCTCTGGGCAGTGCGCGTGAGCTGGGGTCGAGCTCGAGCTCCGCCGACAGCGCCACGCAGGTCGACGCGGCCCGAGGCGCACACGCGCGCGGGCCCGCGGCCACACCCGCACACACTCCACGCAAGCTGAGCATCCCCGGCTGCGGTTGCCATGGTGAGCCCGGAGCGCGTGAGCCCCGCCGCCCCGCCCTCGGCCCCGCCCCTGATCCCACCCCTTCGGCCGAGCGCGGACAACTCCCACTCTGATTGGCCACCGCTCCTTCATTATGCAAATCGCTTGCGTAGCCTCGGCGGCCAGCTGTCTGACGTCACCGGGCACGGGGGCGGGGGCGCGGGGCTGGGCCGGGCGAGCTCGGGCGGGAGCCCCGGG